GTAATATTGCGTAATATATTTCGTAATATTATGTTATATATTGCGCAATATTTCGCAATTTATTGCGCAATATTATGTCCAGACCGTAATTATTGCGCTATTTTTCAGAGCATAATAACTTACGTAGGATTACGTTAATATATTTTGCTAATGTTATATGCAATATGCATCAGCTACATTAATCGATATCAAATTAAAATAATAGCATAACATATCAATATATATATTGTATATACTATAAGTACATATCTGTAAATAAATAGCCAAATTGGAAGTCTAGATATTCTACATAGCAGAAAACTTCTACATACATGCGAATGATCAGGCCATTTTAACCTAATAATTTAAAGTAAATATACATATTGATACTGTATTAATTTAAGTTATTTTATTATTAAATTAAACTGCTACATATCCATAATATAATTTATATAGTAACAGCAAATACAAACTCCAACTGATTTGAGATATGTATTATACAAAATTTCAATCTCTGATTATAAATATTTATTTCATATAATTAAATTGATAGAGATATGCCTCTTGCGTGAAATGCTGATATCATGATATCATTCTATTAATTCTCGTGCGAGATAATATAAATATTATTATTATTACATCAGCAATTTGCGTGAAAGGCATATCTCTAATTATTATTCTACCTTTAGAACATTATATCTTCGAAAATTGATCGTTCCAAATATACTGTAAAATCTTATTATTTTATTAAGCTAATATATAAAATCAATACTTTAATAAATATTAAATGTGGTTTTTCTAGTCTATTTCTCATCGGGAAGATTATAATAATCAGCGATCATTCAATTGTAACTTTTTTACCACGACTATACTATTTCTATTTGTAGACTAGCACTAAAATTACTAATCAAATAAAGAAATTGATTAAATCTTATAATCAAGAATGAGAATAAAAAAAAAAGTTAATAATTCTATAAAAAGAATTGGCTTAGAATATAAGTATAAAAAATCTAAAGTGAATTCAGAAGATACTTCAAATTCATGAGAAAAAAAGATGAGGCAGAAGTTAGTAATCAAGAATAACAATAATAAAAAAAAAAAAAAAGAAATATAAAAATATTTTCACTGCATAGCCCAGAGTCTAACACAATAAAATTATTATGTTCAAAGAATTGAGAACAGAAAAATACTTCGAATTCTCAATAAAAAGAATTAGTAATCAATGAATCAGTTAGTTAATTAGAAAAAAAGGAAAAATAGTATAAAAGTACTTTCTCTAACATAGCTTCAAGCCCAATCTTGTATTATTTAGAGTAGATTAGATAAAGTCTTATCTGTAATTGTTATAAAAGAAAGTTGTTTTTTAATAAAAAATCAATAGATCGAGTTAGTAATAACTCGAAAAGTGGTTTACCACCTAGTCGCAAAGTTTTAAAATACATTTTTCTCTTTGAATTGTTATAAGTCCCACTCTAAAAAAATTTCTTTTGGTTACTTATTTTAATAAAATAGATGAAGAAAAACAACTTGAATTAGAGGAACATAATGAAGAAACCTTTCCGAATAATGATATAAATTATATATTAGATATTAATGCAGATAATTCTTTTGGCCAAGTTTCAAAATCATCTGCCAGTAACGTTTCCCAGGTTAGTAATTTAAGAAAGTGCAAATCAACAGTTTGGGTACACTTTGATAGAGAAACTGTTGAAAATTTTGGTCAACCAGTTTGTCTTATATGCGGTAAAGTATATGAAAGTTCTACCGAAGTTTCTACGTTAAAAAGACACCTTGATAAACACCGAATAGAAGCACCTAAAAAAAAACAAACTACACTTCAGATCTTTCAAACTGATTCCCATAATGAAGTAGAGCAACAAAAATGAGATAAAAGGTTAATTTTTTGGTTAATTGTAGACCAACAGCTCTTTACAATAGTTGATAACCAATACTTCTGTGAGTTCGTAAATATTTTAGATTCTCGTTATGCTGTTCCTACTAGACAAGCTGCAAAAAACCTAATAATTGATGAATTTAATCAACAACGTGAAAAAATCAAAGATTATGTTAAGCATATTCCAAGTAAAATCTCTCTCACTGCAGACATGTGGAAATCATTAGACAATGAAGCTTTTTTGGGCCTTACTATTTATTATATCAATTCTGATTGGAGACTTTAGCATTTTTTATTAGATATAGTTCCTTTTGCAATCAGACATACAGGTGTCAATATATTAGAGGCTATTAGTTGTGTTCTTAAATAATTTGATCTAAGTAATAGAGTAATAGCACTTACAACCAATAATGAGTCCACTATGTTAACATGTGGCCGTTTGTTAGCAGAAGAGTTAGAAAATGAATTCGATAATATTGGATTTTCTCATTATCGATGCGTAGCGCATGTCTTGAATCTTGTAGCAAAACAAGGTTTAATTATGGTTGGTTCAGCTATGAATAAAGTACAACAATTAATGACAAAAATCAAAGCGTTGGTCCGTCTCTGTGATGAATTACGTGCATTATGTGATCTTAAAGGAATTAAATACCTAAAAGCGAAGCTAGATATAGATGTAAGATGGAACAGCACATTTTACATGTTACAAAAATTTAAAAACATGGAATTGGCCCTAAATCTTCTTAGCATTGATAATAACTCGATTGCTGAATTATATCCTAATCATGATGATTAACAAAAATTACAAGTAAATATAATTAGTATTATTATAATATTTAAGTTTGAGCTATAAAACTAATGATAATATATAAAAATATTAAATACAGGACCTTATGATCTTGTTGGAACAATTAGAAAAAGCCACAAAGCATCTATTAGCTGCATCTTATCCAACTCATAGCAATATTCACTTCATTTTTACAAGTCTTCAACAGCACCTGGATATATATATTAAAAAAAAAAGTTTTCTCAAAGTAACGTAGCTGCCTCTATATATAAAAAATTAGTTGAATATTGGAAAATAATGGATAGCTCTTCAGTAGTATCAGCAGTCCTTGATCCATACACTAGGCTTAAAATTTTTAGTAATATTATAGAGCAGGAAAATGCTACCAATTTAACTCACCAAGTTTTTAATCGTTATAAGTCTCAATTTCAGTTACAGTCAGACCTTCCTAAATGCAACCTCCATAAATGCAAGACCTCTCTAAATGCACGGTCTTGCTGTGGCTCTACTATATATACACTTATAGATTTTTACCCCCCTAAATACAATATCTCTCTAAATGCAAGATTTTTTGTGGTCTGTATGCAGTACACTTATAAAGGGTTGACTGTATCTGTGCCGTGCAATAATATGAATAATGAATCCAGACCAAGCACTACTCGACAATTCTTTTGGCAACTGGGTTCACAAAACTTCCAATCGCCTCACATCAACCATGAAGATTCTATGTCTAATAATAAACTAGATAATTACCTTCATTCTTTGCCAAATAAAAATGCCAAACCACTGTTCTGGTGGAAAATTCATCAAAAAGATTATCTAATTCTTTCAATAATTGCTCATGACTATCTCTCTATCCAAGCAACAAGTGTTGCCTGTGAGCAGGCTTTTTCTGTGGCAGGTAATACAATTACCAAAACTCAAAATCGGCTTCATTCAGAAACTGCAAGAGCTTGTCTTTACGTAAAAAGCTAGATTGGTAATAAAATTGTATACCATAGTGGTAGAAGTTCCTTATAGTATTAATACAGTACTACAATACTGCAGTATATATTTAAATAGTGTAGTTATCAGAAAATCGAACTAGCCAATCAGAGAGCTTCAAATAGACTAGTTTGTAGTCTTCAGTCCGATCTGTGGTTCAAAGACTAAACCGGTTTTCTTGAACTGGGACCGAACCGGACCGTAATATTTCTACCTGGAAGGGTCAGTCTGCCCAGGCTTTAGGTGCCTGAAAGACACCCTTCTCTTGGTCCATACTTTCGGAGCGTATGCCCTTTTCCTCCAGTGCGTCTAGTACCTGGCGGTTCAGCTAGTATGTCTCTTACTAAAGGACCTAGTTGCTCGGTTTACCGATCTTGGCCCTGGTTTAAATTTAGCTGTTATGTAGTACCGTCGAAGATTACTGCTACTCCCAACTTGGGACTTCCCAAATAGGCTTCCTATAAAATAAAAGCGATCTTCAAGATTTACACGATCATGACTTATTAAGTATTTGCACTACCCTAAGCCGGTTTGCATTCCTTTGTAATTCCTGGGTTTTCCCAGTTATACAAATGCCAACAGATCTTCCAGGATCACTTCCTAGTACAACTCGAGTTACAGATCCTCAATTCAAGACCCAATTATGATATACAAGTTGCTATACCACAGATCTATTTTTCAAAATCATCATCTGTAGGATTCGAACTCTAGACCTGCCACTTGGAGAGGGTGACGACTAGACCACTTTACTAAGCTGCCACATCTTTGCAGAAGAGTTTTCTTTTGTAAATAATATAAGAATTTAATTTCTCTGTAAATTTCTGATTTTGGGATTGACTTCTTTTTCTGAGCTTCAGTTTTCTTGACATTAACCCAAGGTATGTACTCTAATGCTGCACTTATTATTGCATTACTAATGTCCCATTCAACATTAATATCTGTAGATGTATTATGTAAAGCTTTCGCATTTCTGCCTTGATCTTTCATACAAAAAAGACGCTTTACATACACTGTATACCTTCTAGTCTTTTAATGATGCCTTATGATATAAGAAAACTCTTCTAGCTGGTTTTTCTTGATTTCTTTTACTAAGTTTTTCATATACAAATACTTTACTTAATTCTAATTTCACACATGCCATTTTGTGATTACTACCTGTTACTAAATTAATGTCTTTAATTATAGCTTCGTTAAAAAATTCTCACATCTCTTCACCAATCCATATATAGTTAATTCTCAAAGCTATTTTATCTTTTTGTTAGGTATATTCTTTTTTGTGTGGATTTAAAAATTTATAGGAGTCTATTATCTTTTTATTTTTAAACTATTCAAGTAGAATTTTCCCTAGCCTTTGATTTTTGCGGTCTATATTACTAGTATCTAATCTTGTATTATATATTGCATTAAAATCTCCGAGTATACTTATATATGTGTCTATCTTGTTTTTACATATTTCTTGTACTACTATATGTTGCATCTCTTTGTTGATTTTTTTATCTGCTAGTGGCAGATATATTATCTATATCTGTATAATTGCTTTTTTAAAGAAAAACTCTAACTTTATCACATATAGATTGTATCTTCTAACTGTAGCTAAGTGTCTTGATCAATTCTTACTAACTAAAGCCTCTACTCTTTTAATTTATCTACTTCTTTTGTTGACCAAAAGCTTAAATACCCAAATTCTTCTACGTCTATCTATCTACTCTCTTCTTTATCTAAAGCTGCTAAATTTCTTAATTTTTGCTCATTCAACTTTAAACCATTTATATTGTGAAACCCTAAACTAAGCTGCTCATAGCTATTACTCTTAATTTTTCTATTTAAATCTTCACATTGTTTTTGTGTTTTGGGCTTTCTTAAGACAGAAGTGAGAATTTCTGCCATGCCCATATCGCTTAATTTGTTCATAGTGCTTTTTAGAAACATATTGCAATTATTTGCTCTATTACTTTAAACTTGTGTCTCATTTCTGCAAGGATTTCCTCTAACTCATTTGCTTCTTGCCTTTCAGTTTTCTTTCATTTTTGATCAGTGATTGGAAATCTATTTGATTCTGTTGCAAGTTCTGATTCCTGAGATAAATTTATGTTATCTATATTGAAGAGGGGCTTTCTAGTACTACTTCTAGCTCATATAATACTTCTTTCACTATTTGTAAAAGCTCTATTGGTGTGAATACTCTTTTTTGGGCTATGATTTCTATTTGCCTATTGCTTACGTGTATGATATTCACTTTTATATATGCTTCTCTTTGTGTATTCTTTCCTTTCTTGATTTTCTTTATTATTGACAAGGCAATTTTCTCTATATCGGTGATTTTTATCTCACTTTATTTGACGATTATAATAATATAGATTTGTTGATTTTGCTTTTTGTAAATCTAATATTGATGCAAAATATATAATTGCTGCTTCTCTCTAATTGCTATTTCTGTTGTCTGGTATATGTACTAATTTTACTTTGAAGCTTTTAAGTTGGCAAAGTAGTATTGCTTCACACGCATTATGTAGCACCCCTCTTAATATAAGTTTGAATTCATTTCTGAGCCCCAGTTCTTTTTTATTAAATCTGCCACTTGTTACTCTTGCTGTTTTTTCCATTTCATAATGAATTGCCCAAGTATTCATAAAGAGTTGCTTTTTTTCCTTATTTGTACATCTAACTCTAATATGAGTAGCTTTATGTTCTGCTGAGATATGCCACTCAATACTTTCTACAGGTCTATATGTTTTCAAACATCTTTTTATATTCCCTGTTCTTGCCGATGTAGATAGGCTCTATATGATTAGATTCACTTCCTTGTAAAAGGCTCCTTTTTTGTTGTTTTTGAGATTTTTTTTTGATAAAGTCTCTTGTTCTTATGTGCTTATATAGATTTGTATATATCTTCACTTCTCTTTAGAGTAATATCTTCTTCTGTTTTACTCTCTTTTTCATTCAATTCTTCTTTTTTCTTATCTATTCTTTTACTTCTTGTATTGCTTGGTTTTCTTGTCTGAACTCAGTATAGATTAATGTTGCTTTAGCTTCTGCATCATTTGTGTTATCTCTTTTTAATACTTCTATTTCACTCTCATTAAGGTTTATTTCTGCTAATCTTAATAGAACTGTTTCTTCTTTTTTCCTAGCAGTTAAATCTTCTGCATTATCTGCTATTTCATGTTTTCTTTTTAAGGTTTCTTCTTGAATATTTGGCTTTTTTCTTTTATGTCAAGCTCCATTTTTGTTGAAGTACAGAGTATTTCTAATCTTTTTTTCTCATTTAGTTTAAGTCTTTCTTTTTTCATACTTGTTATAACCTCAGTTACTTTACTAATAAGCACCTATTCCTCAATTAACAGTTTTTTATCTTGATTAGCTTTACACAATACCTATTTATGAGTTTCAATTGCACTGCAAATTGTTGTTATAAATGCTGGGTCTTGATACCCAAAATATCTTGCTACATTTCAATCTATATTTAATATAAATTTACTTTGCTCTGCAAGTATTTCTTGTTGTTTACTCTGTGA